ATTTTGTAAACAAATCAATTTATCGAACTGTTATGGTAAAAAAGTTATCATAATAAGATTGCGATTTAATGCCTGGCATAATTAGGTGCATATTCAAGCTATATAGCTTAATTTCGGACTTATTTGTGCTCTCCAAACCTAAGATTATATGTAACTTATTTTTTGTAAATGCATATGTTGAAAATGATAAGTTAAATAAATTGTGCATTTGTGAAAGAAATATTATTTTAATAGGTGAATTTATTGTTCCACCAGAATGGTAACTAAATTAGCATATTAGGTTTCAAGCCAAAACGAATACGTCCTAAATTCAAAGTATGTATATTTTATTATTGGCGTTATTTGCTGTACAAAAGTATGACTTTAAGTAACTCCATGATGAACACATTGGATTCAAATAATTGTTCATGTATGGATTTTCTATATAAAAAAAATCTATGTATCGAACAATAATGGTAAATAAATTGGCATAATAAGATTGCGATTTTATTCCTTATATAATTAGTGGCTTTAAATTATTGAAACAATATAACTTAGTTTCTAAGTTACCAGTGCTTTCGAAACCGACGATTATATGTAACTTATTCTTCACATGTACATGTGTACATAAGTGTAAATCCAATAAATTGTGTATTCATGAAAGGATTTTCTTCATAGATTAATTTGTTGAACAAAACGGTAACTAAATTGACATATTATGTTTCATGCCATAAATAACTTGGCAACCTAAACGAGTACAATTTGCAATTAAAGTATATATAACTCTAAGCTCGGCGTTGTTTGTTGGTACATAAGTATGAATTTTAGTAAATCCATGATGAAACCACAGTAGATCGGAATTTAGATTTCTCAATATTATCTCATTGAAACTAAGGCCTGAATCAAATCCCAGTATGTTGTCGAATTAATGGATCTTGATGTTGTATTTTTTTAAATACAAAAACGCTACGTGGCCGAACTTGTTTACCAATTTTTTGTATGCGAAAGAGATAGTGGTTTTTTTTTTTTTAAACAAAGTCATGTGGTGATAAAATAAAATAAAAACGACAACAAAAGAGGTAATGTTTTATTTATTTATAAATTTAAGTCTTTCGTGTAATTCGGTGGATCGAACACTAAACTAGTGAGAAATAATAATCTTTAGAAACACACTAAATAAATGAGTAATATTTTCTCGTTTTGAGATTCATAACTACGTGCTTGAGACTAAAATATACAATAACTTCATATTAGTTAACTGCTTTGTAATCCTCATATGTACAAATTTATCTGTCTTTCGAGTGATTAAAAGACGTCATTTAGGACCACCACTTATATTTTCCGTATTTACTACAATGGTTTGAGAGTAGAAGACTATTTCTTATAAAGTTTAGAATTTCAGGTTATCCCCAAATTAGCGAAAATTGTTAGGTGTTACACTATTTCACTGAATTTTTTTCGTTGTCTTCGGTAATTTAGAATCACTTCACTGTTCGCTTGTGTACCACACCTTTATCGTCACAGTATTATGAAAAGAAATTCAAACCAAGTAAACTATAAGTAAGAAGGTAATGTTATTTATTATCCATTCAAACATTTAACGAACATATTGGGAGAACATAAGATTTTTGGTGCACGTCAAAAGTATATGATATATATTGATGTATCAAGTAGCACTGATTATGACATTTCCTTTTGTGCTTGCGGGTGTGTAGAGATGTCTTGAGGAATGAACTTCAATATTTTAGCTGGCGGACACTTACACCAATTCTCGACGCATGAGCAAAATGGGGGGCATGGATTAGATTCGTTGCACGGATAACGAACAACTGGTCCTCTTGCTTCGACTCCAAATTGCACACCTACCACAATTAATATTTCAATAATTAATAATAAAACTGTATTTTGCCTTTATTGCGAACATACTGCTTTATGCATAAGTTGACGTTACAAAAATATACACTTAAACTCGACTTTATGGCTGAAAATATCGACAATTGTTAGGTTAAAATGTATAATTTTAACGATGTATCAACGACATATACATATTTTAAAAATAAGTTAAGTCAACCACGTTGGACAAAATAATTCCCATATGCAGTTGTATTGTTCAAAGAAGTCGGCCCTTCAGGTTAGCCTAGGTTGTTAGGATTAATGTTCGGATTATAGTATGTCAAGAATAAATTTCTCTTTCATCGTAACAAAAATAAAAATTGAGAGAAGTATTTTACCATCATATGAAACAAGAAAGAGCACAATGAGGAAAGCTGACTTGAATGAACCTTTCTCCATATCTATTCAATTTGTTGAAAGCAAGGAAGGATTATAGGTTTGTACGTGCTATAAAACTTGAATTCGGAGTCACTAGGTTTTAAAAAGAATACA